TTATGGCCAGGTGAGATCAACTTAATTAACCACGCTGGCGTCCTGGATACGTATCTCAGACACACCACACATCCATTGGTGTGGCGATACTTGCTGTCCGACTTGGCATACAGTTTGGACGTTGAAAGCTCCTACATGAAGTCGATGGCGATGTCTTAGGAGACTAGGAATGAGGTTTTAATGGCCTTGATCGTTGGCAAAGGTCGCAGAATGAGAGACTGTGGAAGATAAGAGAGGCCCAATATTAGTATCAGAAGATGAAGGCAAAGGAAGAGACTGAGTTGAGGATGATAGTCTATATTTGATTGGGTCTCGTGTACTATTGGATGCGTGCAGGCGATTGGCCCTTCCCGGCTGCCAACGCCATGAAAAGCTATTTCTTCTTAAGATACCTGGGAGATAAAATATTTATGCAATCGCAGGGCCCATGAAACATCTGCTTGAGGCTTGTGACACGCGGGCTTTTTTGGGATGTTCTCAGGTTTGATTTTTCTAACACCGGCTAGAAAAGACCCATACCGCTAGCGCCGGAAGACCATGGGGCAGATAGTGTGTAATTTTTGAGCCGGCCTCTTCCAACACTTTCTTCCATTTGGGAAGGCAGAACCAGCGTGGCACTGCTGGCCATCCAAGGGAAACACCTTACTGCTGCCACACCCTATCCAGCTAGCGGCAGCACGACTTCGCCCTCAGACCCACATCATAGTGTAGCAATTTACTCTAAAAGGGTAGCTGCTTTCCATCTTACCACTATTCAACAGATCTTTCTGGGGGGGGGCGAGACCCCGAGGGAACAAGCACTTCACCAGTATAGCTCGTTGGGTCATTGTGGTATACAAGCCCGACCACGACGGCAAGGTAGCAGCTATCGGTCGGGGATCCAAGAAGTACTTCAGACTCACGTTGAAGAACCCGAAAATGTTGGTGAAAGAAATATAATGCATATCATTAAACGTGTATAAAATATCTAACTAGATTTCGCCAACAAAACACCAGTAAACTAATACGATATGATAGGAGACTTGATGATGCAAGTTCAAGTCAAATCAGTACATCTTAAGGCTTTTGAAAGTTCGTTAGCTGAAAAATGGACTTATAACGAGATCTTAGCAGAGGAAAGTTCTTCATATAACCTTGCTGATACAACTATTTAAGTGCGTTTCGGCAACATCAATCTAAAAAGATACAGGACAGCTTAGGATACATTTACTACCACACGTTTCCTGAGAATCCCAAAAGCTTTTTGAAATGCCCAAAATGGCAGAGTAAATTTTGCACTTTTTGAAGAAAAAGTAAATTAAAGGGATGTATTTAACATTGCTGCAAACTAGCGCGGAAAACGCCAAAAGGTATATTGTCCTATTTATGTAACTAGCTGCTACCACACTTCATTTTCAGTGTCCGTGATATCGATATCAATGGGAGGTTCAAATAAACTTTAGAGACACCTGTTGAGGGCTCACAGAGTAGATTTTTAAAGAATGAAAGTTTGACTGCCCGGATATAAAAAACTTAACGAAATAGAAAACTAATATTAGTGATGGATAGTAGCTAGCAGAGGAATCGAGGACGCTGGTTCCACCCCACTTGAGACTCGTCAACTGGATGTACCTGCCTCTCAGTGAGTGATTTCCCCACTGGGTCGAGCCCGGGACCGACCGCTTCAAACATCAGAGGGTTATTCACCAGGCTACTGAGCCGTGATAGTCACTTCCTGTGTAGTAACATGCAGAAATTAATATTTTCAAACTTTGTTTAGGTGTATCATACTAGACGACAGAACAGCCGCTGGATGGATTTGTGTTTTAGGAGTGAGCAGCTAATCATGAATTATGATTAAGTGGTGAATTCCTCTATGTAGCAATGAACCATGACCGTATCTCTAATCTCCAATCTGACATTTCACTTCAAGTAAATTAAAATCCCAAATGCCTCAGTTGGGAACTAACGACCAGCGGCAAATCTCAGAGCTGGTGGTGAAAAGATAAGCTGATTGTACAGCTTATAATGGTTCTTATCAAACTCTACACCGGAGAACATTAGAAGCTACAGAACAGCCTCAAATGTCTATTCTCTGGACTAACGGGCGCCCCAATATCTCTCCCTAGGAAGCCTGAAGTACTAGACTAGAAGAATTTTGCAACATTTGTCGCGACAATGTGGTAGGACGAACCAAAATATTTTATGCCGTAACAGACGACTGGAAAGACTAAAAGTGCTCTGGATTCAAAATTATGACCGAACAGGCTGTTTGGCTTCAGGAAGAACAAATCATGTGCGGATCAAATTGCAACCCTACGCATTATCATAGAACAGAGCAAAGAATGGGAGTCAACTATCTACCTCAACTTCATTGATTTTGAAAAGGCCTTCGACAGCGTCGACCGAGAAGTAATTTGGCAGCTGCCGCTTCAACACTACGCTTTTATCGCCACAAACCTTTATCAACCTCATTCAACAGCTATATGCTATGCTATATGAGGAGGCTACATGCCAAGTGATTCACAATGGAAAGCTCAGTGACGCCTTTGAAGTGAAGACAAGGCTGCTGTCTACCATCACCGACCATCTTCCTGATTGTGGTCAACTGGACTGGATCATGAAACAGACAACTATGAGGAGAGAGAAGATGGGTATACGCTGGCTGGACTGATGAAAACACCCTAGAAGAATATTTGGATTTCGCCAACAATAATGATTTATGTCTAATGTCTTGTGGCACAAACTCGAAGATCTACAGGCAAAAACCAACAAGTTAACAGAAGAGGCAGGGCAGCGAAAACGGGACTTCAAGTGGATGTAGTAAAGACAGAGGTGATGAAGATACCCAACCAACAATAACAACAAGCACCAATCACCATCAACAGGAGAAACCTAAAGGAAGTAGTCTCTTTCACCTACTTACGCAGGGCAGCTTCATTTCAACTACAGATGGATGTGGCACAGACAAGGACGTCAAAGCCAGGATCGGAAAAGCAACACAGGCTTTCATTAATCTGAAATCAGTATGGAGATCTACTGCATTCAGCATAAAGCGTGAACAACATCCGGATTTTCAACACTAACTCAATCAAGTCAATGCTTTTATGTGATGGTTCAGAGACTTGGCGAGTTATGAAAAGCATCTCCAACAAACTACAGGCACTCGTCAACAGCTGCCACCTACCCTCACTCGATACTGAAGATCAGATGACCAGAATAATAAGAATAAGCAACAAGGAACTTTGGCTGGTTGGCAACGAACCAACCAAGAACACATCGCTCAACAAATATGCAGAAGAAAGTGGAGACAGATTGGATTGGGCATACACAGAGGAGGCCGCCAGGGAACATCACGTGCCAGACCAGGCCGTCGAGTGGGACCCGCATGGAAAACGACGATTTGGTCGCCCGAGGTGAGCGTGACATGGAGGAGATCATGTGAGTAGGAAATGAAAGTTTGTGGGCAGTCGTGGAGCCAGGTTTTGAAGACTGCAGAGAACAGAGTGGGATGGAGAAGACTTACTGAGTTTCTATGTTCCACTACGAATCCAAGGGACAAATAATAATAATAACAGGCGAATGAATGACTTAGGCGTTTGCTTCAAGCGCAAACTGTAAGTTTTGGGCAAAAACCCGAAAATTTTACTTCAGGCGCAAAAGGAGAGACGCATGATATTCCCCGAAATTTCCAAATATTTTCGCCGAAATTGTCAGAATTTCCAAAGTGCACCCAAATCATATGCAATGAGTCCGAAGTTCACAAAGTGTGGGCAGTGCTTCCCAAGTTCTGGAATAACCTATATCGACAGTTCTAAGAGGCCATATTTGGTAATACCATCATACCATCATACGTTTCATATCCGCATGCGTTTGTGTATTACGAATCAATGAAATGGTAACAGGCAACGGAAATAATTGAAAATTTTAAGGGATATCCGAAATCTAGCAAATGCGCCTGAAGTTGCTTTGGGCTAAAACTCGAAAGTTACAAAGTGCGCCCGAAGTAAGTGCTGGCTGGGTTGGTCCTCTGTGAACAATTAGATTGTAAGAGATCTCTATCCATCCCAACCTAATTAGCTTTTCCAATTTTGACAGTGTGAGCGTAGAAAATTGACAGTCTTTGATTTCTCGCGTCTGGTTTTTAGGGCTTGGTTCGATTTGTTCTGTTCGCTCCTGCAGTGGACAAGGAAATCTCTTCTGCTTTCTTTCTTTTAGCTTCGGTGAGGTGGACACCTTGTGGGTCAGTAGAGTGACTGGGGAGCTACGGGTTGGTGGGAAGATTACGGATCTTTCGTGACTCCTGTCTGTATAGGTACCTGGAGAGGAATAGTAAGATGGTGAGAGGAAAAAAGTGTGGGAATCACCCGAAAAGTAAAAGTAGATAGCATAGGTCTAGTTTCTAGAGGAGTTAGTAGACAGTGTAGGTGTATTAAGGATGGAGATGGTGAGTGGTAGGTTAAAAGAAAGTGAAGGTGAGCTAGTGAGGTTAGTGACTCCTTGAGTAAGTTCGTGCTAAACCATGCGAAGTGATATACCTATCTAAACGTCTTTTGGATGAGTCAACTGGGGGGAGGGGGGTTATGACAGTATCCCGCGGTAAAACATTCCATGAAGCACATACTCTCAATGAGAAAAAGTTGGACCTGAGCGTGATGTTAGCTCTCTGATGTGGTATCCTAATGGGGTTTCCTCATGGTGACCGCGCGGTCATCATTAGCCTTGCCTGTAACACAGCGTTGTGTTGAGGGCAAAGCTAATTTGTTTGCATGATTTGCCTGATGCATGACCTTGTAGGCTATGATAAGGTCATCCCTCTCTCTGCAATAACCCAAGGTGAATAGGTTTGGGTGTTTTAGTCTTTCATGGCATACCTTTCCCTTCGCCCCACAACTGATTTTGTTATTCTTTGTATTGTTCTACCATCAGCCTAAGGCTTACTGCTGCTGTGCAATGGTTCTTAGGAGGAAAGCGCTGAGCTTGTAAACAAAATACCTATACCCAATCAAAACCTAACCAACCTGCTTTTTTGTAACGCAGACTTTCAAGCTTGCGCTAACAATTTCTGAATACTGCGAATGATAGGTCGGAAAACTAACTTATTTTTGTCAGCCTTCCTTTTTACGGTTAAATGATAAATAATGAAAGAGAACTGAAGCAGGCATTCCAGATTGCTCTACAACATTGACAGCTATGAGGCACATGAATTTTAATAATGTTAACACTTTCAATATATACAACAAGAAGTTTTAAAAATCCCCAGCCCCTCCTGAACATATTATTGGAACCCACGACCGGTGGAAAAAGTCTTCTGATGTGAAGTTCATATGCAAACGAGATCACTACATCGCGTACACGGGTGCAGAAGACAGTATTCTCTGAATAACCCAGAGCGGATGTCATCGATTGCTATACTTAGAACCGTAAATATTTAGCGCAAAGTTAACCGCAACATTTCAAAAGACGTATGCTTACCTTTACTAAATCTGTTCCTTGAATTTTAAGTTCTGTTGATATTTCACCGTTTATCACTGGAAAAGGTCTGCAAAACCACACCCGAAGATGCCAGTCAATTTCGACTGATACCTGACGATACAAAGCCGCCCGTTAGAGTGCGGCCGTACACTTTTTACAGGCTAAGTATGACCGAGGTCTTTTCTGAGGGTTTCTTCATCCCAGGCTAACTGGCGTGTACCTCGTGTTAGGCAATGTCTACACCAGAGGTTGAGCTTCGTTCGTGGCTTCAGGGTTAGCGAGGGTGGCCTGTGTCCCAGATCAGTTTCCCGTTTCTGTAGAAAAGCTAGTACAACAATACCAATCCATCTGGTATGGTTGATCGAAGACAATCGAGACCAAGAGTCATCTGTGCAGCTAGTCGTTGTGGATATGTGGCGAATTTTGCACATAAACAGGGAAACGTCGTCCAGTCGTCTTGATTCATATGGGGAGTATTTATTGTGTACTGTGCAATAAGGGGTGAGCTGTTTGTACTATGTGTGAATGAGAAAGTCAGGACTTTCAACCGAATTGTGTCCGAAATGTAATCCAGTGAACGATATTGTTACACTGTGTGATAAATCTAATATTCTACCACGGTGCGCAAGTTTTCCGTTTTTATTAATTACTTGAATCACTCTACATCCTTAGACATACTATTAACAACGATTATGCACTCTCATTGACAAATTGAACGGTATCTGTACTGATTGATGATTGAAGGTGAAATGGAAATGTGGACCGCTGCCGGAGTTTCATCTCACCTTCAATCATCGCCCAGTATAAGTACCAGTCTGCCAAACTACGGGTATCTCAGATAGTCAAATGATAAGTTAAACCATAACCATGCTGGAATATCTGCAGCTGACTGCTGTAAAGTAACTTCCCACCCCACATGCGCCTCACCTCGTTTCCACTTCTTGAAGCCACTTCTAGAAGGAAGGCTAGTGGCTGCCACCGGTTGTTGAGCGGCTGCTGGAAAATGGCTTTTATCGCCAAGCCAGGTGAATAGGCAGCGATTCTCGGGGGAGCATTCATACCGTGATGCACGAGCATGGTTGCATTTGGGATGGCTTCTTTAACTCTAGAAGAGGTAAGTTTAACCACGATGTCCAGACTCACGCTTTTTACTTCTACAAGGCAGACCTGTCGGTACTCTCATGAGGGAAGTTCATAGGGAAGAAAACTGCCGTTGGAGGTGGGAAGTTGCTTTACAGCAGTCAGCTGCAGATATTCCAGCATGGTTATGGTTTAACTTATCATTTGACTATCTGAGATACCCGTAGTTTGGCAGACTGGTACTTATACTGGGCGATGATTGAAGGTGAGATGAAACTCCGGCAGCGGTCCACATTTCCATTTCACCTTCAATCATCAATCAGTACAGATACCGTTCAATTTGTCAATGAGAGTGCATAATCGTTGTTAATAGTATGTCTAAGGATGTAGAGTGATTCAAGTAATTAATAAAAACGGAAAACTTGCGCACCGTGGTAGAATATTAGATTTATCACACAGTGTAACAATATCGTTCACTGGATTACATTTCGGACACAATTCGGTTGAAAGTCCTGACTTTCTCATTCACACATAGTACAAACAGCTCACCCCTTATTGCACAGTACACAATAAATACTCCCCATATGAATCAAGACGACTGGACGACGTTTCCCTGTTTATGTGCAAAATTCGCCACATATCCACAACGACTAGCTGCACAGATGACTCTTGGTCTCGATTGTCTTCGATCAACCATACCAGATGGATTGGTATTGTTGTACTAGCTTTTCTACAGAAACGGGAAACTGATCTGGGACACAGGCCACCCTCCATAAGCCTGTAGCGTCACACATTTGCCCAAAATCAGTAGCCTAGGGTTCGACGACATTCAACATTGATGCCGACCTTCATAGTTTAACTGGACCCGCTAAACTGAAGGCATCCGGTCGAGTGCCCTCGCCATTTGGCACGCTGTCGTGTTAAGTTGCACTACTCGTATTCGACTCTCTAGCCAGTTAGTTGGAACGTATCGGCGTCTTGGTACAACCATCCAAATATACCATGCCATCCGACTACGCTATCATGTTCTTCCCTGATCTCGTACTCATATGTATATATGACAAGTCCGAATAATTAGTGATTGGTCTTTGCGTCTGTCAAGTTCGCACCAGGACAAATCTTAAATTGGTGGGCACAACGTGGTCACATATCCCGACCAATAACAGATATTGAATTGGTGAGCCTGTTCCACTTTACATTTTGATATTGTTCTCATTTCGACAACATTTATATATTGATTCACTACACTTCCTCATGTCCGACCACACTCCCAAGCTTATTCGTATTAAGCCGACTACGAACACGGTCCAACTCGTGCCATATTGGCCGGACAATGCGGAAACATGGTTTCTGTATGCCGAGGCAGATTTTCGAGAACAGAGCGTCTCAGCTCCTCATCCTCGATTCCTTGACGTCGTACATTCACTGTCGCGGGAATTAAATAGACATCACTAGCCTGCCTTCACCACTTTCGAATTCATAGGCTACTTAGGTCGCATTGACTACTAAATTTACTCATGCAGAATCTATGTGTATTCCTATTTCAACACCGTCGACATGTCATCTACTTGTCTTAGCCATACTTTCGGAGCTGGAATAGATGTTTCCACTGCCATCCACCTCCACGTTGTAAGCCATAATAAGGGAATGGTGATTTCTGATAAGCCTGAGGTTAAAGTGACATTTAAACCTGCTAACTCACCTGGAAATAAGACTAAAAGATCCTGTTTGTCCAACCGGAAAGAATAATTTAGTTCACTGAATCTCTTCTAACAACTTCCACGTCAAATACACGGGTCAAAGTAGTCGACCAGGTTCAATCGTGCTACCTGTAAAGGAAAAATGATCTGAAAATCCCTCCCGATCACCCTTATTTGATTGTATTGACATTTATTTTAACATTTTTACCCTCGTTATGGATGGTGTACCTTTGACCCTCGCCGGTGTAATGTTATTTGCTTGTTTAACTGTCTTATTTGACTTTACACTCGGTATTTGCCTTTGTATGTTTGAGACTTATTATGAGTGTTTCACTTTCCTATTATGTGACGCTGGACTGTTGATAAGGTGATGTTGTTTTACTGCGCACGACATTTTGTTTTGGTTCAACTTACGGTTGTGCAGTGATTTGACTGTTTGTCTTTTGACTGTCTACTGGGAACGTTTGTTTGTTGATTTGATTCCTGTAGGCAGAGTTTTGATCCCTTTTGCCGGGAATATTCCTATTGACCGACAGGTATTTAACAGTTGTATTTTTTAACCAGTTTTTACCGTGTAGTACGTATTTGTACCCGAGAACGTTTTGGACTGTATAGTTACCCAACGGCACTGTTGAGGTATTTTTGTAATTTGACATAACTTATTGTTGCTTTGATAGTACCACAGATTTTGTTACGAATCTACTATTGAATTACTACAAACCGTGTTTTGATATTTCGATCCAACCTTTGACTGTGCGTCACTCGCGGAAGTTAGGAAGCTATACAGTAGAACGCAGGAACTAGTCAGATTCACGTCAGTTGGCACCGCCTAGCTATTTCCCGCGTTCAGGCCAAGATTATTGGATTCTGGCCGCTACAGTACTCAACAACCCGTCACTGCTGTACCTGGCAATCGCAAGGTGTTCCTTGAGTCAATTCCGGACGGGGAAGGTGACATGTCCATGGATCCAACCTCAGATACCAAGCAAGTCCCTCTTGATGTTATTTCATGCCGTGGCTCTGATAATGGTACAGTTATTGACTATAGTAAGACTAGTCCTTGTAGGACCTCTGCTCAGTTGAAGGTACGACAGTTGGATGAAAGGCAAGAGTTGGAACTTCGTGAATTCAAGGCTAAACAAAGACAGGAAAGGTTGCGTCTGCATAAAGAACTCAACTTAGATGTGAATGGGGGTTTAGGTGATACCTTTTCCTTGGATGATGATATAAAGTGTCACAAATCAGTTTGTCTTGGCATTGACCCTCATAGCAGTTCTGATCGTGAAACGACTAGCCAGGCGAGCAGCGCAGAAAACAAAGGGGTTGCCGCTACGTTGCCTTGTGTCAGTGTTGGCCATGAGTTGCCGAAAGTAGAATTAAGCAGCTTTGACGGACATCCAGCCAAATATTGGAAGTTTATGAGGCAGTTTGAGCTCTACGTTGTCTCTAAGGTTGATGATGATGGACAGAGGCTGTTATACTTGTTACATTACTGTAAAGGTAAGGCCAGGGAGGCTATAGAGGAATGCATTATGTTACCACCATCTGCTGGTTATCGTAGGGCTCGGGATATACTCAACGTTTGTTTGGAAGGACTCATGAAGTCAGCCGGGCCTTACTACAGGATCTGATGGAATGCTCGAACATAGAACAAAACGATGCTGAGGCAATGTCGAGGTTAGCTATAAAAATGGAAAACTGCGCTATAGCCCTAGAGCAAATGGACTATACTGCGGACCTTAACTCCTTGAGAACTTTAGAAGGTATAGTAAAGAAATTGCCCCGTGTGTTACAGATGAAATGGGCGGAGACTGTCG